TACATACATACATACATACATACATACATACTTACATACAATATAAGAAAAATCCTAATGTAAACTAGATATAAATTATATTATTGCGTACTTTAAAATATAACGAAATTTCATAATGCTATACTTTTTCTCTAAAAACAAAACACCATGAAAACAACAATATTTTTACAAGTAAAATATATTTCTATACTTTGTAAACAAGAGAACTTTAAAGCTCACTGGAAGGCTGAAAGACATTTTAACTTTTCATAATAAAGGTCGAAAAGTTTACTCTTTTAAAGTCCTTTAACAAATAGTAAATTTTATATTGAGTTATAATTAAATTTGAAGCGGTATAAACACATTACCAAACAACCAATTTTTAATTTGTTAAACATGCAATTATCATGTGTTTTATTTTTATATTTTATAAATATAAAAAATAAAACTTTCCTGGCATAGAGTCATAGAGTTGAGAGTTATAACTACATTTTTACAAAAAGGAGCTTTTTGACTATAGTAGGCTTTATGGCTTCGAGGGGAGCTAACATAAAAAAATAAAACACTTAAAAAAAGTTGTTTTCGATAGTAATTAAAAAAGGTTAAAATTAATTCTTGTTTGTTTTAAATTTGTTTAAGACTGAATTTATGAAAATGTGAAACTATGATTTATTTCGATAAATAAATATCGACTGAGAGTGTAATTAATTCAAATCAATATTTTGTTTATTTTAACTAAATTCTGGTGTTAAATTTAGGTGTCATGTGGTTGTTTCTTTTCAATATGCTTTTGAGTTATTCCATCTAAAATCACGTAGTTTTTCAATAGAACCCGAGGGTACTACCTCCACTTTAATTTAATATTTGACCACCCACAGCTTTAGTAAAAAAAACACATACAAAAAAATCTCTGCTTGATTGACCAAACTGTTTAAAAGTTATGATTGAACTAATAAAGACCAAAATCGGCAAAATTTAAGTATTTAGCTTACAGTAGATTTTTTTAATTTTTTACGAATCATAACTTTATGAATAAAATAGATGATCACCTGAAATATTTTATAGTAATATTTTTTCACCCAATTTATCTATTTTTGCAGATGTTTTTGACTGATTTTAAACAATGTTTGAGTTCTTGTACTTCGAAGTTGCTAAATAGCGCAATATTAGACACAATTTTTGAATTAACATTAATTCATTAATTTAATTTTCAATTTAATGAATTAATGTGCTACAGTTCAATACTAACAGACAAGCTCTGCCATTTTATTTTTAATTTTTTTGTTACATTTGTGTACTTAGAGTAACCATTTGAGCAAAAAATTAAAATTATGCGTTATAAGTTATTTTAGCACTTGCAGCAATATGTTGAAATAATACTTTTTTAAAAAAAATACGATAAATTACATTCACTTTGTAGGCATAGATAGTAGCGCAGACTGTTAAATTAATTTATAAAACTTTTTACTGGCAAGGTTCTAAATATAGAACCTTGCCAGTAAAAATATTTATATCACAAAAAAAATTGTAAAGATTTATACTCTATCTTATGACATAGTTGTTATGACTTATGACATAGTTGTAGCCTTCTGCCATAGTTGTAGCCTTATGACATAGTTGTAGCCTTATGACTTAGGTGTATAATTTTAATTTTTTTCTGAGTAAATATAATCAGTTTTCCCTATAATAACATTATGAGTTTTTTAAGTTAATTTAGTTGGTATAATTTTATAGTAATATGTATTTTTTTTAATTTTATGCATTAAATATAAGTATAATTATATAATTTTCACATGGTTATAATTTGAGTGTGAAATACTTAAACAGCTTGAAGAGTTTGTATTAAAATCTAAATCGGCACCGTATTTTCCGGATTTTATTGTTTTAGTTTTTAAAATTGCAAGAACCAAAAACTAAAATGATTTGCGTATGTAGATATAGTTAAATGTAAAAATAGTATATTGATTGTAGATCAGTAAAAAATGTCAGAGAAATATTTTTCGTAAAGAATTTTAAATGAAGATTCTGATAAAATATCATATTGTAGAAGGGTAGGAAGAAAAAGACTAAAAGATACTGGTATTAAAGTTTTAATTCAAAGTGTAGGATAAACTTTTGAACTAAAGAGGAGATATGTTTTCACCATGAAAAAGCCTATATTTCTAGATATAAAGCAGCTCAAAATTTCTAGATAGGAAGCACTTCTGTTGTGATCCATTTAATGTCCTCAAGAAAAATTTTATCAAGAGGTAAGTCAACATATAAATAGCAAATCAACTTTAAATCAAACCTGGTCAAAAAGTTTGTACTAACTGTATGAGCTCAAACTGGAAAAAAACTACAAAAGTTAGTCAAGATGAAGCAGGTAGTATAAAGTAGCCGCGAAAAATTAGGACATGAAAAGCAAAAACCTAAAAAACTTGCGACTAGTATGGCAAACCTAGTATTTTCAGCCTTGGATATAGACCCAAAAGATGTAGTAGAATCGGAAAAAGGAAATGTATAAACATTAATTATTTCGACAACATGTTAGATGCAATAAAAAACAAAACGAAAGTAGGTTTAAAAGAAGAAAAAGTTCAACGTACTAACACTATCTCCTGATGGTTGGTCAAGTGAAAAAACAGTTTCAAAACATCTGGTTAAGTAAGTTCGAAAGTTGAAAAATGAAAAAGGAATACTTGTTAAACCTGAGGCTTAAAAAGGACAGCCATTTGAAGTTGTTGTTAAACAAAAAGTCATTGAAATTTATGAATCTGAAGAGTTTGAGAACTTTATCTTAAGTTTAAGAAGTTATACGCTACACACAAAGTTAGCTTCAACAAGTTCTGTGAACTATAGATAAAGTGGTGCATCAAAGTTGATAGTAGTGAAAGTCACTCAATTTGCTTATGTTTTTATAACCTAAATGCTAAGTTGATGTGCTTGAAAATGTGTTTGAAAATAATGATTTTGGTTTTGACGATCAGATCACATACAAACAATGGGTGGCAACCGACGAAAATACACTTGTTACAGTTTAAATAAGCATAATTGAGTTTATTGAAACTCATAGTGAAACTTTGTAAAACCTTTGTCACCAAAACTTTATCAAAATCACAATGCTCCTATTTAACAGAGACAAAAATAAACATTAGTTGAACTCACTTGCCTTAATCTTATGGATTTTGCAGAGAACTATAATTTTCTTGAGCATGATGTTGCGTAAAGATATTACCGGCAAGCCGATCAAGTTACTATACATCTATTTGAAGTTTATTACAAAGATGAAAATAATCAACTCAAATGTGAATGCTATTGCAAAATTTCTGACCATGACCAATTAACAGTACATTGTTTTCTCACAAAACTATTCCAAATGATCAAAATCAAACTACCCACAATCAATAAAGTAAAATACTACAGTGATGGTGCTGTGTCACATAAAAAAAATTACTAATGTCTGTTAAACTTAATGTACCATCTTGAAGATCACAATTTAAATGCTGAGCATCACTTTTTTGCTACATCTCATAACAAAAGTCAATGTGATAGAATAGGATGAACTATAAAAACAGAAACAGCAAAAGAAAATTTATGAGCAGCAAATGCAAACCAACGTTTTATACTATATGAACTTATTACATGTGTTGAAATAAACATTAAATGCGTTAAAAAATTTTACAGATCAAAAGATGATGTCAATAGCCATAAAACTTATTTTAACCTAAAGAAACTTTATGTAGAGATGAGAACAGTCCCATGCACAAGAAACTATAACAGCTTTGAACCAGGTGGAGACAAATTATTTTTACAGAGAATCTCTGGCGATAATATTTCTGAATAATATTAACTTGGCAAAAAAAGATCCTCTAAACCTTTAACCTGGTAAATACATTGCATATTTTTACAAATCTCAAACATGTTTTTACGATGATAAAAATCTCAAACACAAGCCCTATGTACATAAGGTTTGTGTTACAGATTAGGAATGAAAACTAAAATGTTAATGTAAAATGATTAGAAACTAACTAAATTTGAAATGGACAAATGATGCACCATCTAGTCAGTGTTGGGTTCCATTAAGCTATGAAATACGTCACACAAGTGCTCCATCCATTGAGAGTAGAAGTTCTTGTTACCACAAACTTGCTAATAACAATTATCACAGTATTGTGAGTTATGCAAATAAGAAATAAAGAAATTAGTGCACTTGTGTTTCATGTGTATATACACTTCTTTTTTCATTATTTTTAATTTTATTTTTTTGAAACGTAGTATAACTTGTACTATTCGGTATCAGATTAAACTAAAAAAGCATTACACTCAAAATGCTAAAATTACGTCATAAAATAGAGTATAGATTTTTGAATCTTTTTGGGGGATTTCCTATATATAGAACCTTAATAGTAAAAAGTTTCACAATTTTTTTTATCTACATTACTTTCTATGCCTACATAGTGAATGTGATTTTCTGTATATTTAAAAAAAGAATTCTTTTAACAGGTTGCTATAAGTGCTAAAATTACTTTTAACACATAATTTTAATTTTTTCGCCATTGTTGACTCTAAGTACATAAAAGCAATAACAATTTGGCACAGCTTGTCTGTTGATGTTAAACTCTAGCACATTAAAGTTTCCAAAAATTTGTCTTATAATGCGCTATTTAGCAACTTTGAGGTTTAAGAACTCAAACATTGTTTGAAATTAGTCAAAAACACCTGCAAAAATATATAGTTAGGGTGAAAAACTATTACCATTAAAAACTCAGGTGATTATCTATTTTATTCAAAAAGTTGTTATATGTTAAAACTCAAAAAATCTACTGTAAGCTCCAGGTACTTCAGATTTTTTATCAAAAATCAATCAATCATGCAGTGGCGCAGTGGTTAGAGCGCTTGATTTAAAAGCAAGAGATCCAGGTTCGCAACAAGCTTTGGCGTCACGGTAAGGAAAGAGGCATAAATTTTCTGATTAAAAGTAATGTTGTTCGAAAATTATTCTAACATTAATCAGACTAACGTTGGTTTAATGTTAATCAAACAACGTTGTTCCAACATCGTTTTAGTGTTAAAATTCTAGACCATAGATGGTAACAATTTTTAGACGATATTTCAATGTTTGGTAGACAAACAATAAAAGAACCCCGTTATGCCGACGTTGGAATTTAGGTAACTCGCGTCGCGTCCAAAATCCAACCAAATTACAAAAACGGCTCGATGTCTTTTTCTTAATGGGTCCGGTTCTCACAATTTTTTTTTTTTTATTCAAATACTTTCCATCGGCTTTATATTTCCTACTATTTCATTCATCATAAAAATGACATAATAATTTTAGCCAAAACTTTTTTTTTATATGTGTGTGCGTGTTTCTAATTATTCGGTTTGAATTTATTTATTGATAGTGAATAAATGTCCATATTTCTTTGATTATTTGTTAGAATTCTTTTATTAAACGTGGAGCTGTGGATCACTAAATAACCGCTTGATTAACAGTTCGCTTGTTATTAAAAGCGCTTATAATCTAAGTTAACTTAGACGACTTATTGATGTCATGATTAGGGTCTTTATTCACCAATCAACTAAGCCGAAACGCCTACCTTAAAAACAATTACTTTTATTAAGGGGTGGTCATAAAAAACGAATGCTCATAGGGGCGAGGAGTGAAGTTTAAAAAAGCGTGCGATAGCGTATGGGAGGGGAGTGAGAGAGACTTCAATTTAAAAGCTCCACCAAGCAAACACATTAACGTAATTATTTTAACTTCATTAAAATAAATTATTATAAAATAAATATTTGCTGAAATATTTAAAGACGTTTTTTAAATTAGGATCCTGTGCCGTAAAAGCTTTTATGGCGTATAAAGTATCTGAGTTACCTCCTCCATCTTTTTTTTATTCCATTAACTTTTTTATTGAAAAAAAAGTTTTTGTGTGGGGGGGGGGGTATTTCGAAAACGTACGTACTTTTTAAGAAGGAGAAGGATTTAAAAGTACGCATGGCAACAGGAAGAAGGGAGGGGGGTCAAATTTCAAAATTTTTGACGTACGCACTATGGAAAACCCCTAATGGGTTTCGAATAAAAATATTAAAAAAATATGTATATTAATTTGACTTTTATTTTTTTAATTGCATAAACCAAATAATATAATAAATAAATGTTCGATGCTCTAATTCCAGAAACTTCGTTTTGTTATCACTAATCTAATAAAAATATTTTCTTGAAAGTTTAATGATGCAAGAGATTTCATTAACTTTTGTTTTTCATTTTTAGCTTTCGATACAGTTTGTCTAACTTTTTTCTTTCTGGAACGTCATTTACTCGAGTTAGACGCATACAATTATTAGATTCACTTTCCCAATTATTTTTTACGCAATCTTCGTATTTACCAAAAAATATATTATTTAATTGAACACCATTCCTAAGAGGGCACCAATCGTTATCGTTAATCCAACTAAACATGCGATTATAGTAATCGCATGGTAAAGCACACGATCGAGAATTACGTTCAAGAGTTGTCCCATAGCAACTTTCTTCGTACTCAAAGCTTATATCTTGTTCGGTTATTTTTGGAGGACAGTTGCTTTCACAAAGATCAGGTTCAAAGAATAAATTGACTTTCTCGACCATAACATCCATTAGAATGCGATTCGTGCTCTTCATTATGACGTTAAATATATTATTTTTGACATTGGATAAAAGTTCTTCGTAAACTTTATTTTCAAAAGGATCTCTGTAGGTTAATGTTGCCTTATTGGAACGAGCCTTCCATCTACTTGATTGATCAATTCCTTCTAAATTTTCGTAGCGTTTTCGATGCAATGCTTTTGCAGCCATGATTACCTCTGATCTCAATGTATGCAATTGTTTATTATAATCATCTTGTGTTTTTACTACTTGATGTTTTTCGCTATTTTTTATCAGCTCCAAAAAAACTGTGTTTAAATAAGTAATATAACCTACTATAGCTGAGCCAAATTTTTCTGGAACAAATTTAAATAAGTTCCAATATGTTTGAGGAAAAAAATGGCCTTTTATATTAATCATCTGATTAAAATTATCAACTGTTATTTGATGTTTTCTTCTAGTAATAGTTTTCAGAAAAGCTATATGCGAAACCAAATTATAATGGTTGTTTTGTGTGATTTTTTTTTCTATTGCTGATTTCACTTCTGAACTAATTTGACCCCAAACACTCTTTCCTGGTATTGCATCAACCAAGTTATTGAATATGTTTAAAAAGGTTCCTACTACAGGTAAATTTTCGCTAATTTTTAAAATTGTTTTTAGAGCAGTAACAAAATACTCAGTTCTTTTTTGCCATTTGTCATATTCATCTCCTGATTCAACACCTGTTTTAGGAAATAAACTTTTTGTTATATGCAAAGGCCCATTAGATTCCATTTTATCATCAGACGAGTCATTCTCAATACCTGAAGAAAACTCTGTAGTGGTATCATTGCTGTCAAAACTTTCTGGTGTTATAACAGCGATATATACAAAAATAAATTGCATTAACAAGATAGGCGGGTAAAACATTTCTAAAAATATATATATATATATATATATATATATATATATATATATATATATATATATATATATATATATATATATATATATATATATATATATATATATATAATATATATATATATATATATATATATATATATATATATATATATATATATATATATATATATATATATATATATATATATATATATATATATATATATATATATATATATATATATATATATATATATATATATAGTAGTAGTAGAGAAATTTTTTATGTAGTTGTTTAGTGCTGAAAAGTGTTGAAGTTATTAAAGTTGAATTTGTTAGTCTTAGTGTATCACATCTGTGGCAAACATACTCAGGGTAAATAGAGTCCTAGCTTCAAAACATAGTACTCCTTTTAGGGTTTTTCCTTCAATTTGTCAGGTCTATAAATGTCAGGTCTGTGAAGTGCAGAAAGCAACAGACTTGGCACACATTGAACTGGTGTGACAACAAATGACACTGGGTAAAATATTTTTTTAAAGGTATTGAAAAGAGTATTAGTTTTCTTTACTTTTTAAACGGGTTAACCCGATTAGCCTTAACTAAAATCTAATGCACATATATAAGTAAGAACAGAATTTTTGAGTTAAAAAATACAGTTATAGCCCCAATGTGTACTTGCTGAGGAAAAGTTAAAGTTATGAGCACGTGTTTGTCTGAAATGTTTATGTGCTACTTAAGAATCTTAAAACTTTATCAAAACTTAAGACAAAATTACTTAATCTGTTTATACTGATAGAGTTAACCTGCTAATATTAGAGTTGCAATAAGTAAAATCTTTTTTTTTTTTTTTGAATTTGTTTTTTTGTTTTTTTTTTAAATTAAGGATATTTTTAAATTAAAATAACTTTTTACATGTTATATACGAATTTATTATGGTGTTAACAATTAATACAAAGTTTTAAATAATTATCTAAAACGTAATTTTAAATTATTTTTTAGACAAAAAGTTCTGCATGGGTAGTATGGATAATTCAGTAACTCCGGTAATTTATGTTTAGTAAGGTCGGTTTACTAAATCCGAACAGTAACAATGCCCAGATTAAATTCTTGGCTTTGACTTTAAGTCTTGGGTTATTCTGCATCGTTATTTTGATTTGTAAGTTCTAAATTACGGAACTTAAAAAAACTTTGATACTCTGTTATTTGTTAATCCAGGGCCGGAATTGGTGGGGTTTCTGTGCCATGTTAATGTGGAAACCCCTTTCATAGCCCCGTAAGCTCACCGAACTTACGGGGCTGTGACTCCCAGAAAATTGTTTTTGAAAATCAAAACTGCTGTACGTGAGTTTTAGCGTCGTTTTGGTGAAGGGAAAATGGCTTATAGAAAAAGTTTTTTTCTCCCATTTAAAGTTGTAGTTGAATATTCTTTAAGAAAAATTGTAAATGTTTTTATCAAAAAATTATTTTTTTCTTCCAGAGACACTGTCTCAGCAGCAACTAAATCTTTTTCATGCTCAACGCATGCCTTATCATATTCTGCTACATTTTACAAAGAGTTTGTAGCTAAAACCATATAGAGGCATTTCACAGAAAAGGGGCACGGAAAAGTTGCCACTGGTGGAATAGGAGGTTGTATCAATAGAACCGCAGAAAGATAATTAGGACAAGAGAAAGATATTCCTGATATTAGTTGTTTGATTGAAGAAGTAAAAGAAAATTGCCTAACTATAACCGTCTATTCTATTAACAACACAGATTTCAATCTCTATGAGAAATGTGTACCGAAAAACCTAACAACATTCAAGGGGACTTAATAAGTTCATGAGGTGTTTTGGAGTTCCACTAGAACAGAAACATTGTATATTAGAGTGTTGATATGTACTGGATGTAACAATGATACAAAGTGCAAAAACTATAGTGTTAGAGAAGAATTAATCCCTGTAGGTTTTTTTACGGATCCTTATCCTCGTATTCTTTTAATGTATAGCTTTTAGAAACTTTTAGAAAAAAACGAAAAGAGAAACACTATGTTGGGCTAATTTAAGCCTTAGGTGCGGATGAGTTTGTCTTAAAGTTTTTGAGAAGCCAGGAATTTTTTGCCTTTCTAGGGAAAGATGAATTTTCTGTCATTATTAATAGTGTTGAGATTGTGCTGGCCAACCCTCAATTACAGTGGGCAATATCAGTTGATATCAATGGATCCATTCGAAACTCTGTCTCGTCGGATTTTTCTCGGAGTTTCGGAGTTCGAGAAAATTCGAGAAACTTCAACAGAACTTTGACGACGTTTTTAGAAAATATGTATTTTTTACTCGTAAAATAATTTAATTAATATTTAGTTTCTACGCGGTTTATACAATAGTTGTTGTTGTTTTCAGAATGCAAGCGTTCTCTTTGTTTAATAACAACACTAATTTACATTGCAAAGTAATTGGTAATGCACAGTAGGCCAGGTGGAGGTAGAAAAAACCTCAAAAAAAGCTCATTTTATTTAAAACCATATAATGAAACGTACTCATATTTTTCCATTGCACTATTTTAAAATATCTTTTGAGTATAATAGTATCTTTTTATTAATAGTTTTAAATCCACAAAAATCAATTGCGTTATAATAAAATCAAATATGAATAATAAGTATATAAATGTAATATGAATAATAAGTATATAGTAATGTAACATATAATGAAATAACATTTTTTTTTTGTCAAAACAAGCAAGATTTTTTTAATTTTCAAACAAAGATATAGTAAACAAACTTTTAAAACATTATGTGTATGTGATATTAGTTCATATATTTTAACTATTCAATAATTTACCTTTACAAAAAAAAAAAATTTACTCAAGATTATTATTTATAATGTGTGTATGTGTATGTGTAATGTGTGTATGTGTATGTCTAATGTGTGTATGTGTATGTGTAATGTGTGTATGTGTATGTGTAATGTGTGTATGTGTGTATGTGTATGTGTATATAGTATGTATATTGTGTATGTGTATATACATATATGTATGTATATACATATATGTATGTATATACAGTACTGGAAAAATTATTATGGATTTTTAAAATACATCGTTATTTCGGACTTAAGGCATTACTAAAACACAATTTGTTCATTAGTTCATAACCAAAAATGATTTATTTACACGTATTACACATTTTTATACATTTTAATACTTTGTTTGGCCACCTTTCGCAAGAATTAAAGCTTTTACACGATGTGGCATGCTCTCAATCAAACTTTTACACAAAAATTTAATTTTTGTAGAGTGAAACCACACGTGTATTAACCTTTCTATCAGTTGGCTTTTTGTTGTTATGGGTATTTGGTGGATTTCATTTTTTAGTATATCCCATAGATTCTCTATGGGATTCATGTCGGGCGAGTTTCCTGGCCAAGGAAGAACCTGGACAGCATTTTGTTGGAACCAAGTCATAACTTTTTTGGATTTGTGGCAAGGTGCAGAGTCTTGCTGGAAAATCCAGAAGTCTGACCCATACCATTCCCTAATTTGTGGCACTAGTCGAGATTCTAGCACCTTAATGTACTTGTCCTGGTTCATTGTGCCATCCACGATGTACAATCGACTGGTTCCATGGACCGAAAATGCCCCCCATACCATTATTTTTTGAGGAAATTTCACAGTCTTCTTCAAACATTCTGGCAAAAATTCTTCCCCGGGTCGTCGACGTACGGTTTGGACCCTATCATCCAAAATTGCGATAGTCGACTCATCAGAAAACACAACCTGAAACAAAATTAACTGCTAGAGAAAGTAGAGAGAGAGTGCCTTACCTCTAAGTTAAAATTTGAAAATTATTGTTTATTAAATACGTATTATTATAATGTTACAAGACCCCATCACAACTAAAATAATTAATAAAGACAAAAGTAATTTAACTGATTATCATTCCTAAATGTATTTAAGATTAAAAAAACCATTTTTACCTTTTGCCAATCATCATAAGTCCAAGATTCATGCTGCTTTGCCCAATCGTATTTTGCTTTTTTCATATTTTCTGTAAGACGTGGCTTTTTTCTTGGACGATATGCTTTCAATCCGAACTCTAACAATCGATTGTTTACCGTTTTTCTGCTCACAGAGATTCCTTCTTCCCCTAACATACTGGAAATCTTCGAACATGTTGCTCTTCTATCCTTAAGTGCCATATTTTGGATTTTTCTATCGGTTCTTGGTGTGGTTATTTTTTTCCTCCCACAGTTTCCTTGTCGTTGAGAGCCCACATCAATCCCTCTCTCAATTTTTTTCTTAATCAGACTAACAATTTGTGTCGATATATTTAATTTCCTAGCGATTTCTTTTTGTTTAAGTTCAGAATCTTCTAGTAAAACTTTAATTTGTCCAATTTTACGAGGACTTAAATCACTATTTTTACCCATGACTTTATATACAAAACTAAATGAAATAAAAAAAAATTAAGTAACTTTTTTGGTTTAGATAATATTAAAAAAACTTAAAACTTCAATAAAATGTTATAAAAACTTTAATTCTCAGCGACGACAAGCCCTCGTGACGGAACGCAGCGAACTAACATAAATGTGCATAATATGCATAATTATGACACAACACATAAAAATCGTGTTGCCATCTATAAAATGATAAAAAATGTTGACATTTATGAAAAATATGGTACACAATGAATGTATAGTGAAAATAGAAAGAATTTATGTGAAATATAATACTTTAAATAATAAAATTAACTAAAATTGTTGCATAAATTGTGTTATTTTAAAAAATCCATAATAATTTTTCCAGTACTGTACTATGTACTGTAGTATGTATATATAAAATAATTTTTCCAGTACTGTACTATGTACTGTAGTATGTATATATAAAAAAATCAGTCTTAAAATAACGAGGTAAATTTTAAACATGTAATAACTTTACTTTGTACGAGTAATATCCTATGATCAAAATAATTTTGTCCTTTATAAATTTAATATCCAGGCCACTGTGTATTGTGGCAAAATTGTGTAACAAAATGTTATCCGTAATAACAAGT